GCAGGGCAGGGCCGCTACTTGGCAGCGGTAGAGCAGGGCCGCGACTGGGGTGGCTGAAGGGCAGGGCCGCGACGGGGCGGCGGCAGCAGGGCAGGGCCGCGACAGGGCGGCAGCAGGGCAGTGCCGCTGGTGGCGGCAAGGTAGGGCCGCGACGGGCCAAGAAGGCAGGGGGGGGGGGGGCGCGACGGGCCGTTAGGGCAGGGCCGCGACGAGCAGCTGCAGGGCAGAGGCCGCGACGGGCGGCAAGGTAGGGCCACGGGTGGCGGCAGGGCAGGGCCGCGACGGGCCGAGAAGGGCAGGGCCGCGACGGGGCGAGAAGGTAGGGCCGCGACGGGGGGCTCTAGGGCAGGTGAGGCGGGCGCGAGGCGCGCTTCGGGCAGGGCAGGAAAAAAAAAGTGATCGTGGTGGGCCCTAAAAAAAACGTTCCCACGAGGGAACCTGCTCATAATACCATGTCAGAATAGTGAAGGAAGGAATGACTGAACTAGCAAGCAGGTGGGTACAAGTAGGAAACCTAAAAGTGTTGTACCTTATAGGAACTACCCCACTACAGCATATACAGACTATAGCATATAAGTTTGACAGTATTGGGTGAAGTAAATGGGATCGGACATATTACACAATACAGAGGTGCATCGAATGTATTGAACTATGTATATAATCAGGGTTTAAGGTTGCAACGATTATCTTGCAAATATTATGTTCATGGGAAGATAATAGTTCCTCATAATCGAAAAAACGCACTTTAAGCAACCACGCGATCCACGCGTTCCAAAGTGCCACCATTTATAGTAAAGCATGTCAAAAATTTCCACTAAGAGCATAACGACTTGTAGCATATGCTGAATAAAAATGCGCAGCTTGCATGGATAACTCTAGCTCGCTAATCAACTATGATTAAAAGGCATGTTTCCTTGGTAGGTCATTGCACCGATACCCCCTCAGGACGATACATGTATTCACTAAGGGGACCATTTCGAGCCATTCTAATGTCCCCTTCCAATACTCCCTACATTGGGAGAGCCCATCACCAGGCACACGAAGTATGTCGACAACAGGAATCGAACCGGGGTTCTCCATGCCCACTGCACAATGCAAGGATGACTCCACTTCGCTAACCAACTAAGGAAAAATGTCATGTTTCCTTGGTGGGTCAGCGCACCCGTACCCCCGGAGGACGACACCTATAGCTATTGGGGAGACCACTTCGGGCCATAACAATGTCCACTTTTAACACAACTTGTCATACGAGGCTCGTCTAGTTCGCGACACCGCGTTTGTGTCTTTCGCTATTGAATGCTTGCTTATGCCTTCGCCCATATCACCAATCTTTGCCCCTTAAGTGCAATCTTCATTTTGCTTATTCAGTTTCACTCGTAAAAGCTCCGCATATGTTGGGAATTGTACTTGAGGTGGTGGCCCCAATATCATGTGCAATGCCATTTTATCCGAAAAGTAATGTTATAGAGTGAGGGATCTTGAATGAAAATGGTTAGGAAATGAAAGAGATATCATTTGCCTACGAGGGTGCGGTTCTTGCACCAGATACATTCTCTTATTCGATTAACCCACCGGCGATTGTGTCATCGGAACGGTATGTTCACATTGATGTTTGGGCACACGTGTTTGAGTCGAGTCGAATCTCATTATGATAATACGCGCGATTATGTACGAATTACGTAGCTAAACGTCAAAGAAGCCCGTTGGCAAGATGCCACAGCTACGGACGACATTCCTGTGTTACAAATGATTACGCCAGGCCAGCCAACAGTATCAAATTTCCACCAAGAGTCCCATTTTGGGAGCAGAGCGCTGCTAAATGTGACAAACGTTAGTAGCACCAGGCGAAAAGAACAATCATCACCGACGTAAACGAGGTTGGTGAGATCAACGATTAGTGGGGTGTACCCTTTGTGTGCGGTTTTGCTTGCGATGCAAGCCTGGCCAAGAATAGTGCACACCACCCATATCTAAAGCTGCTTCTTTGTTTTTTTACTACTGTTCAGCACCACTATGTCGGCCGACTTCACCGCCATTCTCCTTTGTCTCTTCTCAGGCATGCCTCACTCGCGTCCACTCATCCCTCCACCTCGAGAATTCATGATATAATTGTCATGCAACAGGCAGGGCTAGGATAGCCCCGCCCCTCAGAACAGAACTCTCCTTTCCCCTAACCCACACAGGTGAACCACATCACTTACTGCAAATTCAGGTGAACCACATCTCCTCTCCTCGATCCCTCCTGCCTGAACCTGCATGCTTTTTACTGTTGAATGTACAGAGTCCAGCGCCCATTGCTGCCGCCGCGCACTCTCCTTAGATCGCGATTCGCGTCGCAATTGCTGATGTGTAACTTGTACAGTACAGCATGACGGGTTTTTTGGGGCACTGCTTTCTTCCACACAAACAATGTGCGTGGGGCAAGCCCCACTTCTTGCGGGGATGGGAGTGGAGAGACTCAGAGATCAGCGCGCAAGCACCGATCACACTAACGCATGATGACGCAGGTATTCTGTGTACTGTGTATTTAGGGGCACGAATTTATGAATCTACAAGGCCCCTTCCTTGTCCTTACGCAGCTGTCATTCTTGTGCGTTTGCGGCACGAATTTATGAATCTACAAGGCCCCGTCCTTGTCCCGTCGCGTCCGACCCTCGATGTGTGGACACTGTGCTTATCAATTCTTTCCTTTCTTCATGGTCAGCCACAAGATGGGCAGTCATTGCTGTATGTCAGAGCAGAGAGCTCAGAAATACAAAATACAGCTCAGCGGCTTCTCGGTCCGCATCCATCGCGCGACTACGGAATGTACAGTCGCATGAAATGAGTATCCTGACTCAGTGCTCGCGCCACCTGGACCTCCCATTGGCTGCGAGACTTCGTTGGCCGAATGAGAGAGCCACGGCCACAGCTCCTCCTCAGGTCTTTTGGCTCTAACACAGTACAGTACAGAATAGTACCCAAAGCATCACTCGAGATCATTCGATTCTTTCATTTCTGATCGGACCAGGCATTTCTTCCTGGCACGTCTTGCCTCTGATCCGAGCTCCCCGTGAAGGTCAGGATAGCCGTGAAGGTCAAGGTATGAGAGAGTCGCATTCACGCCAGCTTCTCAGTCCCGCCTGTCGAAGTCCATGGGACCAAAACTTTGAGTCCCGAGCTGCTCGAATTCTGGCCCTGATTTTCGTGGGCGCAGTCCAAATTAAAAACTTGAAATCAGGGCTTCTTAGGAAAGTGTGCTTGAGCCCTGATGTAACACAGGAGGATGTTTTCTCTTACTTAGCAGGAAAAAGGTACATTCGAACTACTCATTCACACACCTACAGCCTCTACATCGTAGGCAAAAACACCATAGGAGAAACATCGGGGAGTGGGGGTATGGGGGAGAGGCGGGGAGAATTTTGGGGGGGGGGGGGTTCCTTCGAAACAGAAACCAAAGCTTTGATTCAGGGGAAGGCCCAAACGAGGCCCGTAACGGTCACGGGTGCCATGCGGATCTAGCACTTTAAATGGTCGAGCTGCTCGAAACGTAGGCCGGAAAGTTCAGGGCATTAAGGGCAAATTCCCTTGCTTCTACAGCCCTGTTCTCAGTCCCGCATTGTAGTAGTTATGCACTTCGCCGCCTTCGGATTCGCCACTTATCGAGTTCCCGTCGATCCACTGCACTTTGCGTTCAGCCCATACACGAGCAAGTGTGTATCCAGCACAGCACATCAGGTCACAAGCATGTTCGGTCTTTTGCGTTGCGAAACGTTAAAGCGTGGTACAGAGAAACTACACAATCACATGCCATGCCATGTGACTCTTCCTACGACTTGGGATGGGAGGGAGGCAGCCATGTTGAAGCACTCCTCTCCGCTCCTCTCCTCTCCTCGGTCCCTCCTGAACCTGCATGCTTTTTACTGTTGAATGTACAGAGTCCAGCGCCCATTGCTGCCGCCGCGCACTCTCCTTAGATCGCGATTCGCGTCGCAATTGCTGATGTGTAACTTGTACAGTACAGCATGACGGGTTTTTTGGAGCACTGCTTTCTTCCACACAAACAATGTGCGTGGGGCAAGCCCCACTTCTTGCGGGGATGGGAGTGGAGAGACTCAGAGATCAGCGCGCAAGCACCGATCACACAAACGCATGATGACGCAGGTCTTCTGTGTATTTAGGGGCACGAATTTATGAATCTACAAGGCCCCTTCCTTGTCCTTCTTACGCAGCTGTCATTCTTGTGCGTTTGGGGCACGAATTTATGAATCTACAAGGCCCCGTCCTTGTCCCGTCGCGTCCGACCCTCGATGTGTGGACACTGTGCTTATCAATTCTTTCCTTTCTTCATGGTCAGCCACAAGATGGGCAGTCATTGCTGTATGTCAGAGCAGAGAGCTCAGAAATACAAAATACAGCTCAGCGGCTTCTCGGTCCGCATCCATCGCGCGACTACGGAATGTACAGTCGCATGAAATGAGTATCCTGACTCAGTGCTCGCGCCACCTGGACCTCCCATTGGCTGCGAGACTTCGTTGGCCGAATGAGAGAGCCACGGCCACAGCTCCTCCTCAGGTCTTTTGGCTCTAACACAGTACAGTACAGAATAGTACCCAAAGCATCACTCGAGATCATTCGATTCTTTCATTTCTGATCGGACCAGGCATTTCTTCCCTGGCACGTCTTGCCTCTGATCCGATCTCCCCGTGAAGGTCAGGATAGCCGTGAAGGTCAAGGTATGAGAGAGTCGCATTCACGCCAGCTTCTCAGTCCCGCCTTGTAGTAGTTATGCACTTCGCCGCCTTCGGATTCGCCACTTATCGAGTTCCCGTCGATCCACTGCACTTTGCGTTCAGCCCATACTCGAGCATTGCCCCTGCTGCTTCAGCCCCACTCGTTCTCCCGCCGCGGCTGTCGCGACGGGTGCCGTGTGGTAGAGTCGAATCCAAGTCGTGATTGCGTGGCGTGACACGTCGGATCGCGTCGCGTGAGAAGCCACGACACGCCGGTAACCGCATCTCATGGCGACATTTGCGGCCACGAGGCCCTCCATTCGCGTGGGCACTCACGAGGAGCAGTCGCAGCACTTCCCTGCCGCGCTTTCGCCCCCTGATGCCGCCGCCGCCGGTGCTGGCGTCGGCTCCGCCGCGGCGTCCGGCGCCCCGCCTAGCACGGCGGTGTCCAAACTCGCCGTGAGCATCCCGCGCGGACACCGCGAGGACGACTTGCAGGCGCTTCCGCTGGAGCTGCTGCAGCATCGCTCTCAGCGCGGGCCCGCTTCCGCCCCCGGCGCCGCTTCCGCCTCTTCCCGGGTTGTTCCCGCGCCCAGGGCTGGTGAAACCCGCGAGTGCGACTCGCCGCTGGCGTTAGTTCAATCAAAGCCCCCCGTCGCCGCAGCTAGTAGCTCGGGCGGGCGGCGGACGACCGCGGCGGGCGGCGGCGGAGCAGCAACAAGGACGGGCGGCGCGGCGGACGCGCGGGTTGAAGGCGGATCGTGCGCCGCGCGAGCGGTGGCACGGCACGGAGGCGTTGATCCGCTTGACGTGTCTCTGGCGATGATGGGGTCCTTCATCGAGAGGTCGTCGCCGTCGCAGAGTCACGGCGACGACGTGAAGTCAGCTGAGTCGTCGCCGGTGATGACGTCATCCAGCACCTGCAGCACCGGGAGCAGCGGCAGCGCCGGTAGCAGCGGCAGCACCGGGAGCAGCGGCAGCATCGGCGATACGATTACTACTGGTAGCGGAGGCAAGTTAAACGGTCAGCAGCCGCGGGGTCGCAAAAAATCTCACTCCCAGCGGGAGAGCGGCAACGACTGCTATCCCACCAGTCCCGTGAATAACGGCGGCGACGTTTCCCCGCCCGCCAATACCGCCACTGCCGCCGCCGCCACCAGCGCCGGCACGGCTCGGCGGCCTAAACCCCGCGGGTCCCTCAAGAACCTCCCGGCCGCGGCTCCCAACGACGCACCCACCAATGCACCTTCCGCCCGAGCGTCGTCTCCCCCCTCTTCCCGCACGACTGCGCCGCCTTCAGCACCCCCTGCGGCGGCAGCGGAGCGCGTGCCTCTCACGGTGTCTGAGGCGGTCGCCGCATACTCGTCTCGCGAAGCGAACCCTTCGTCGCCTGCAGGCGGTACTACTACTGCTACCACAATCAGTGGTCCTGGCTACGCTGCTTTGGCTGCTACTAGTGGGGCTGCTAGGCCCACAGCGATCAAAGTCCGAGCCACACCACCGCGCTCCCACGATCCCGCGGCTGCTAGCAGTTTCAGGGGCGGCTTGCGCGGCGTCGCTGCTGCGCCATCCGCCAGCCCAAGCCGCCGCAGCGGCGTGAATGACGCAGGCAGAGCAGATGATGCGCGCGGCGCGCAAAGGAGCAGAGTTGGAAAGTCAACCGAACCTGCTCCCAGCGTCTCCCTAGCTGCGGTTGGCAGAAGCAAGAGCTCTACTATCACTGCTACCTCGCTTATTAGCACGTCTGGCGCAAGTAACGCCGCCCGACGAGGCGGCGCGTCCGCCCCCATCTCCTCCTCCATGCCCTTCCTCTCCGCCGCCGCCGCCGCGGGAGCCGCCGCGATGCGCGCAACGGGAGTTGTACCCGTTGCCGCCGCTGCCGCCAAGTGTTTCGGGCCGGGCTCGGGCGGCAACGAGTTCGGCGCGCGGATGAATAGCGGCGGGAGCAGCAGCGACGAGGACTGGTCGGACGACGAGGCGGAGCGGGAGCAGGGCGGGGAGGGCGCGGGAGAGGCGGAGCAGCGCGTGCGGGGAGGAGGCGACGCGGAAGAGAATCGCCGGTGGAACATGATCCCCCGCGCCGCCACTGGCGGTAACAATGCTCCTCCCCGCAGTGACCGCGACGCGGACGCGCTTCCGCCGGTCGACGCAGGCGGTGACGCGACGGACAGCGTCGCCCGGGGGAGCGACAACGACAGCGACTGCTCGTCGGGCGATTGTGGGGGTTTCGCGGATGGGGGAGAGGCTCGGCGCAGGGGAACGGCGCAAGTAGAGGCGGCGGAGAGGAGCGAGTGCCGGCGGTTCTCGCTGGCGCAGCTGCAGCAGGCCACTGGTAACTTCGACGACGCGAATCTGCTCGGCCGCGGCGCCTTCGGACGGGTGCGTGCCGTCTTCGCCGCTCGCTGCACTTCCTGCCATATTCCCGCTTCTCTCTTCCTCCTTCCCCCTTCCCGCTTCCCGCTTCGCTCTTCCCCATTCCTCGTTTCCCCTTCCCCCTTTCCCCTTCCACTGTCCGCTCCTAGTTCGCGTATTCAGCGGAGCAAACGTAGCCAATCATGCTCTGGCTCCAGCGTCCCGATACTACCGTTCCCTGCACAACCTGCAACGCAAAAACGCCAAGTCCGCGAACGCGAATGCATCAGGCCTCACCACCACCTCCGCCCACCCCCCCCTCACGTGTTTCTCCGCAGGTATACAAGGGCCATCTGATGGGGTGCGAGGTGGCAGTGAAGCGGCTGGATGGCGACGGGTGGCAGGGCCCAGACGAGTACTGCACGGAGCTGAGGGTGCTGTCGCGCGCACACCACCCGCACCTCGTGCTGCTCATGGGCCACTGCCCCTCCGCCATGTGCCTCGTGTACGAATACCTTCCGGGCGGCAGCCTCGCGGATTATCTGGTCGGTCGAAATGGCACTGGCGGTGGCGGTGCTGCTGGTAACGGTGGTTCCCAACCTGTTACCCCATCTCGCCCTGCACTGCACTGGTCGGACCGGGTTCGGATTTTATCCGAAGTGGCCGGTGCTCTGGTGTTCCTGCACCACAGCGATCCCCCTGTTGCGCATCGGGACTTAAAGCCGCACAATGTCCTTTTGGATCTGAATCTTCGCACAAAGCTGGCCGATGTGGGGTTGGCTCGGCTGATTGACACGAGCGCAGATGCGGGCGGCAATATGACCGCGAGGGTGCGGGGTACTGCTGGTTACATTGACCCGGAGGAAGTGGTGACGTGCGAGATCTCAGTCACTTCGGATGTTTACGCGCTGGGAATAATAATGCTACAGCTGCTAACGGGGTACAGTAATGTGAATCAGGTGCACAAGCTGCTGGCTTCGGCCTCAGCCAGTGCCGTGAGTGCTGCTGGTGGGGGAGGAGGCGGATACTTGGGTGAGATTGTTGACTATGACATGGCCGTGGGCATGGGGGGAGTGGGTGGCGACGTGATAGCTTCCAGTGGGAGAATAAACCCCCACAGCTGCAGCACAACCAGCAGCAGCAGCGCTAGCAGTAACACCACCAGCAGCAGCCACACCACCAGCAGCGCAGCATCCTCACACTCGTCCACACCCTCATCTGATGCACGGTCTCCCCCCAGCAGCCCCCTGGCTCTCATGGCAGAGATGATCGCATCCCATCTCGACCCTGCAGCAGGGGCGTGGCCGCTCCCTTGCGCCCGTGCGCTTGCCTCCCTGGCCATGCGCTGCGCATGCAGGCAGCGGCGCCTTAGACCAGACCTGGCATCGGAGGTGCATCCTGCTCTCATGCGCCTCACTTCTCACGCTGCTCGCTCTGCTTCTGCTACTGCTGCTGCTGCTGCTGCGAATGGTGGTCCTGGTGCGGCTGCTTGCAATGGCCCTGTTTCTCCTGGTTCGGCTGCATTATTTGAAGGCAAGGGAGGAGACAGAGGAGGAAAGGCAGGAGGAGGAGCAGTGGTGGGAGCGGATGGAGTGCGTGGGACAGAAATTCGATGGCCTGGTGCACATGGCACACATGGGCAGCTGCTCTGCCCCCTCTCCAAGGTAATGATTTGCTCCTGAAATGGCCTGAAGCTCTCACTCCCTCTCTCCTCCACCCTCGACCCGTCACTCCCTTTTCCCCTTCCCATGTTTTACCTCATCCCGCCTGATCATGTTCTATGTTCTCAGTTCACCTCAGCCATGTGGACATGTCACCTAAGATTGTGATTCTTGCACCTCTCCCTACCGCTAACCAGTTGCAACACTCCTCCCTCTTCCCACCTGCAGTCACCCATGAGTGAGCCAGTGGTAGCAGCAGATGGGTTCGCATACGAGCAGCACCACATGCAGCAATGGCTTGCATCCAGCTCCCTCTCTCCGGTCACTGGCCAGCCCCTTCCACACACATTCCTCACGCCCAATGTTGCCCTCAAGTTGCTCTCCTAGTACACCTGCCTGCGGCTACCCCTAGAGGGTATAAGGCCTCCTGTTGAGTTGATCATGTTTAGGTTGTTATGAGTGTCATAATGTCATCATGCCTATTTTGTGTAGGCTGTAGTGGGGTAGCCCATAAGGGGTACAACCCAATTAGAGTTTCTACTTGTATCAACTTTCTGTTCAATTCATTCACTCTCGTTCTGGATTCTAACATGGTCTCAAAGTAGGTCCTTCCCTAGGACCGATTTTTTTTTCTAGGGCCCACCACATAGCTGCCCCACTAGCTGCCCTACAGCCCTGACCCTAACGAACCGCCGCCCTGCTCGTCGCTGTGCCGCCCCTAGCAGCCCGTCGCGCCGCCCTCAGCAGCCTGCGAGCCGCCCCTGCAGCCAGCGCGCCGCCCCTGCAGCCCACGCGCCGCCCTGCCCGCTCGCCGCCCGCTTGCGGCCTGCTCGCCGCCCTTGCGGCCCGCTCGCCGCCCTTACGACCCGCTCGCCGCCCCTGCAGCCCGCTAGCCGCCCGCCTGCAGCCAACTCGCCGCCCTTGCGGCCCGCTCGCCGCCCTTACAGCCCGCTCGCCGCCCTCGCCGCCAGCTCGCCGCCCGCTTGCGGCCCGCTCGCCGCCCCTGCAGCCTGCTCGCCGCCCGCTTGCGGCCCGCTCGCCGCCCCTGCAGCCTGCTCGCCGCCCGCTTGCGGCACGCTCGCCACCCCTTGCAGCCCACGCGCTGCCCTCTTGTAGCATGCGCACTACCTCTTGCAGCCCACTCGCCGCCCCTTGCGGCCCGCTCGCCGCCCCTTGCAGCCCGCTCGCCGCCCCTTGCGGCCCGCTCGCCGCCCCTTGCAGCCCTCTCGCCGCCCTCTGGCAGCCCGCTCGCTCCCCCCTTGCAGCCCGCTCGCCGCCCTTTGGCTGCCCACTCGCCGCCCTTTTGCTACCTGCGCCGCCCGGCTACTGCCTGCCCCTGCAGCCGCCCCTGCTGTGCGCCGCCCCACTGGCCGCCCTAGCCGTGCGCCGCCCCGCTGGCCGCCCTAGCCGTGCGCCGCCCTGCCTTGCTCTGCGCGCTGATTTGCTGGTCGCGCGCCACCCTGCTCTGCCCGCTATGGCTTCTCTCAGTGTACTCACCTTCGATCATGAGGGCCGTCCGATCCAGTTCGATACGTGGCTCGACGAATTACAGCTGTACCTACTGAGCGATTCTAGAGACAGCGTTTCGTTGTTTGACCACACGCCTGGAGCCTCTCTCGCCCCTCCCGCCACAGCTGACAGTGCGACTCCCTCACACTGGCTTATGTTAGAATACTAGCGTGAGTTGGAACCATGGCGAGGGAGAGAAGCTAAGCATTGAGTGTCGAGAGAATTGGAAAGGAGAGTGTCGAGAGGAATGAATGGTTTCACTATAGCACACAAGGTACATATAGCAAAATGAACAAAGGTGCACCGCCAAACAATAGGAGCTACACTACAGCAAATCCTACAGGCAGTTATATAACAGAACATATAACTATATTTTCTGACACACCCCCATAACTGCCTGCAGGAGAAAACCTGTGTAGAACACCCCTTGAAGGGGTACACCCGGTGCAGTGGAAGACGGCAGAGAGGTAAGTGAGGAGGAGGAGGCGAGAGAGAGAGAGAGAGAGGAGGTGAGAGGAGATAAGAACGAAGGAGGAGGTGAGTGAGAGAGATGAGGAGAGGAGGTGGGGGAGCGTGCATGAGCATGACAGCTCACTGCCGGCCATCCCTCTTACTAACCCCCTTTACAAAGGGGGAGGTGAGTGAGGGATGAGGAGAGGAGGTGGGGGAGCGTGCATGAGCGTGACAGCTCACTGCCGGCCGGCCCTCTTAACAACCCCCAAGTCCTCACCCTCAATTCAACCACCCCCTTAATCTCACCCCCCTTATCAGCTGCTCCCTTGTATCTCACCCCCCTTCCCCCCTTCCTTCCTCCAGCCCCTGCCCCACCCACAATAGTCCCTGCACTGATCTTCACACGGCGGCCTGTCCCCTCTCCCCCACCCCCCATCCCCGCCACCTCCCCCCCACAGCAGTAGCCGCGGGAGGGGAGAGGCAGGGCAGAGGGTGGGGCTGTAGTGGTTCACGGTGGCCACCCCTTCCACGCCTCCTCCCCCCCCAAAATGGAGGAGAAAGGGGGCGCGGGGGGGGGGGGGGGGGGGGGGGGTGCCGCAGATCCCCTCCCCCCCCACTGCTGCACCCGCAGCAGGGGGGAGGTAGGAGAAGGGGCGGTGCAGGAGCCGCTCGGGCGACAGCAGGTTGGCCACACCCGCCACCCCCATACCCTCCCCCCCACTGCTGCACCCGCAGCAGAGAGATGGAGGAGAAGGGGGGGGCGGGGGGGGGGGGGGGGGGCTGGTGCTGCAGGTCCCCTCCCCCATCTGCCGCATCCGCAGCAGGGGGATGGCAGATCGCTTCCCCCCCACTGCTGCACCCGCAGCAGGGGGAGGTAGGAGAAGGATGAGGGGGGGGGGGGGTCGGTGCTGCAGATCCCCTCCCCCCTTCTACTGCACAGGGGGAGGTAGGAGAAGGGTGGGGGGGGCCTGGTGCGGCAGATCCCCTCCTGCCTCCCCCTGAACCTCCAAGCTCCCCCCCCTCTCCCAACACAAGGTGCGGCAGGGAGAGAGAGAGGTGGAGGCGTGGCGGCAGCTGCTGCTGCTGAGGCACATCCGCCACCCCCTCACACCCTCTCCCCGCCATCCCCATGGAGGGGGGGGAGGGAGGGGAGGGGGGCGGGGGCGGAGCTGCGCGTGCGACTGTAGGGCACGCGGGCAGGAGGAACCCCCTCTTGCCACCCCCTCACCCACCATGTTGCAACAGGGCACCGGGGCCGCGGGTAGGGGCGGCAGATCGCGAGGGGCGACGGGGCCATGGCTAGGGGCGACGGGGCCATGGCTAGGGACGGGGCCGGGCGCTGGGCAGGTACAGGGCCGGGCGCTGGGCAGGGACTGGGCCGGGCGCTGGGCAGGTACGGGGCCGGGCGCTGGGCAGGTACGGGGCCGAGCGCTGGGCAGGTACGGGGCCGGGCGCTGGGCAGGTACAGGGCCGGGCGCTGGGCAGGTACAGGGCCGGGCGCTGGGCAGGTACAGGGCCGAGCGCTGGGCAGGTACAGGGCCGGGCGCTGGGCAGGTACGGGGCCAGGCGCTGGGCAGGTACTGGGCCGGGCGCTGGGCAGGTACGGGGCCGGGCGCTGGGCAGGTACGGGGCCGGGCGCTGGGCAGGTACGGGGCCGGGCGCTGGGCAGGTACGGGGCCGGGCGCTGGGCAGGTACAGGGCCGGGCGCTGGGCAGGGACTGGGCCGGGCGCTGGGCAGGTACGGGGCCGGGCGCTGGGCAGGTACGGGGCCGGGCGCTGGGCAGGTACGGGGCCGGGCGCTGGGCAGGTACGGGGCCGGGCGCTGGGCAGGTACGGGGCCGGGCGCTGGGCAGGTACGGGGCCGGGCGCTGGGCGCGGAATGGGGCCGGGCGCGGGGCTAGGTATGGGGCCGGGCGCGGGCTAGGTACTGGGCCGAGCGCGGGCAAGAGACGGGGCCGGGCGCTGGGCGAAGGACGGAGCCAGGCGCGGGCTTGGTACGGGCCGGGCGCGGGCTAGGTACGGGGCCAGGCGCGGGCGAGGTACGGGCCGGGCGCGGGGCTAGGAACGGGGCCGAGCGCGCGCTAGGTACGGGCCGATCGCGGGCTAAGTACGGGCCGGGCGCGAGGCTAGGTACGGGGCCAGGCGCGGGCGAGGTACGGGCCGAGCGCGGGGCTAGGAACGGTGCCGAGCGCGGGCTAAGTACGGGCCGGGCGCGGGGCGACGGAGTCGACGGGGCCAAGGGGCCGAGGCGACGGGGCCAAGGGGCCGAGCCAAGGGGCTAGGGGCGACGCCAAGGGGCGACGGGCTGGGGCCTAGGCTAGCAGGGCAGTAGGTGGTGGGCCCATTGACATTAGGTCCTAGGAAAGTTATGCTCTTAATACCATGTTAGAATACTAGCGTGAGTTGGAACCATGGCGAGGGAGAGAAGCTAAGCATTGAGTGTCGAGAGAATTGGAAAGGAGAGTGTCGAGAGGAATGAATGCTTTCACTATAGCACACAAGGTACATATAGCAAAATGAACAAAGGTGCACCACCAAACAATAGGAGCTACACTACAGTAAATCCTACAGGCAGTTATATAACAAAACATATAATTATATTTTCTGACTGCTTACCCGTGACGCTGCTGCTCGCTTAGCCGTTCGCAACCACCTACCGTTAGCCGAATGCGCTCACTTTGGACGGCACAAGACTGCTAAAGCACTGTACGACGCTGTAGTCGCGCGATACTCCTCCCCTGCCACTGCTGCTCTAGGCCGTCTACTACTGCCCTACCTGTTTCCCGAGCTGTCCGCCTTTACCACAGTCGAGGACCTCATTACCCACCTTCGCACTAGCGACGCTCGCTACTGCGCTGCCCTCCCAGCAGAGCTCCTTGACAGGAACCCGCCCCCGGTGTACATCACTCTCTACTTCATAGTCACCCGCCTCACTGAATCTCTTCGCGCTGTCAGGGACCATTTTCTCGCACTTGACCCCACAGACCTCACTCTCGACCTGCTCGAGCAGCACCTCCTTGCAGCTGAGACTAGCGTAGTCGCTGTAGGTGCCGCTCGTTGCACTCCTCGCACACCCTTCTTTGAGGGGTGTCCCCCCTCCCCCCTTGCCCCCTCCTATGCCTCTGCTGCTGCTATTGACATCCTTGGTGCTGCGGATGTCGGGGCTGCTTCTGATCTTAGTGGCAAGCGCCGCAGCAGCAAGGGCAAGGGTGGCAGGAGTGGTGGCGGAGGCAGCGGGGGTGGTAATAGGGGCGGTGGTGGAGGTGGTGGAGGTAGCGGAGGTGGTGGCACCGGTGGGAGTGGTGGCGGGAGTGGGGGCTTTGGTGGCGGCAGCGGTGGCAGCGGTGGGGATGGCAGAAGTGGCAGCAGTGGGAGTGGTGGCAGTCAGGTTGGAGCTGTTCCGAGGGGAGGTTCTGGCGGTGGCCAGAGGCAGCAGCAGCAGTGTCGGAGCGAGACCCCTTCTCCCCAAGAGCTTCGTGAGTGGCGTCTGGGGGTAGTGTTCGCTGCCCGTATGTCATTCGCACGGGTGACCGTGCTGGTAAGCCATGCGGGAAGCCTCACTCTCAGCATCACTGCTTTTCCCGCCTAGACGACGCTTGGCGCGCACAGTTTGGTGACGAGGCTGAGTGCCCCCGCTGGGCAGAGCTGCTTAGGTCCGGAGTTGATATCTTTGCTCTTGACTATGATGCTATCCTTGCTACCATGTATGCCTTGTCTGTTAGTGCTGAGGGTGACTGTTACCTGTGTGTGGCGCCCGACCCAGGTATAGAGGCTGCTGCTCTAGGTGCTAGTGAGTCTTCTCTCCCTGGTACTGCGCCTGCTGAGGCCTTGCACACCTTTACACTTGACTCAGGTGCTTCTCGCTGTTTCTTTCACGACAGTACCACCCTCACTCCACTCCCTGCACCTGTTCCGGTCAGACTGGCTGACCCCTCAGGGGGCCCAGTTCTTGCCCATTCCTCCACTGTTCTTCCGTGTCCGGCGGTTCCGTCCGGCTCACTCTCAGGTCTTCACCTCCCCTCGTTCTCTATAAACTTGGTGAGTACCGCTGCCCTCCTGGATCCGATGGTCACTACCACCACTCCTAGGGGTCAGCGTGTGACAATCTGCACGTGTACACGGACGGGCCGTCACCTGGCCACGTTCACCCGTCGGCCTGGGTCAAGTCTGTACACACTGACTACTGAGCCTCCTCAGGTAGCTGCGTTTGCTCAGGTGTCTGGGGCAGGTCAGGTAGCACACCCCTGCTCGTGTCGCCTCCTGTCGCACCAGACGCTCCTGTGGCAGCAACGCCTTGGTCACCCCTCCCTGCCACGCCTTCGTGGCATGCACTCCCGCCTCCTTGTTTCTGGTCTTCCAAGGTCTCTGCCTCCCCTCTCGCCCTCGCATGCTCCGCCTTGCCTTCCTTGCGTCGAGGGGCAGCAGCGCGCCGCTCCTCACTCCTCCTCGTTTCCCCCGACGACTGCTCCCCTACAGACTCTCCACATGGACGTGTGGGGCCCAGCCCTTGTCAGTGGACAGGGCCGCGAGAGCGACTTTCTGCTGGTTGTTGACGACTACATGCGTTACACCACGGTCTTCCCCTTGCGCCGCAAGGGTGAGGTCCTTGATGTCTTGATCCCTTGGATCCGCGCAGTCCGTCTCCAGATTCGCGAGCGGTTCCGCCAGGACCTTCCTGTCCTGCGTCTGCACTCTGACAGAGGTGGTGAGTTCTCCTCCGACCTCTTGCGGGAATTTAGTTGTGGGGAGGGCATCCTCCGGTCGTTTACGCTTCCAACCTCCCCGCAGCAAAATGGGATTGCTGAGCGCCGCTTTGGCTTAGTCATGGAGGTGGCTCGTACCTCCATGATCCATGCGGCTGCTCCCCATTTTCTGTGGCCGTTTGCGGTCTGGTACGCTGCGCATAAGTTCAACCTTTGGCCCAGTGTCTCCTTGTCGTAGACCTCGCCTACACTGCGTTGGACGGGAAAGGTTGGCGATGCGTCGGTGTTCCAGGTCTGGGGCTCTCGTGCCTTTGTTCGGGATACTTCCGCGGACAAGCTCTCCTCCCGCGCCATTCCCTGCGTCTTCCTTGGCTTTCCCCCTGACGCGCCTGGCTGGCAGTTTTACCACCCCACCTCGCGCCGTGTCCTCCACTCTCAGGACGTCACATTTGACGTGTCGGTTCCCTTTTACCGTTTCTTCCCCTACCGCACTGCCCCTCTCCTCCTCCCCGCCGCTCTTCCTTGCTCCAGGTCCCCCTCCGGTAGACCCCCTCCCCCCTCAGGGTCTTTCTCCCTCAGGTGTGTCTTAGGTAGACCCAGTCCCCGGGACTATGCCTGTCAAGGTCTCTGTAGAGTCAGGTGCTGCTAGAGGTGCTGCGTCTGGGGGTGCTGCGTCTAGGGGTGCTGCGTCTGGGGGTGCTGAGCCTGCGAGTGCGGAGCCTCGGGGTGCTGAGCCTGAGGGTGCGGAGCCTGGGGGTGCGGAGCCTGGGGGTACGGAGCCCGAGGGTGTGGAGCCTGGGGGTGCTCAGTCTGAGGGTGCGGAGTCTGGGGGTGCTGAGCCTAGGGGTACTGCGTCTGCTGGAGGTCCTGCGGGTGCCTCGCCACGACTATCTCCCCAGCGGGAGCCTCTCTCACCGCGGCAGCTGCGCGAGTGGTTTGCTCAGTGCACACGCCTTAGGAGTGGAGCTGCAGGAGCTGGAGGCTCTGCTGCTGGAGGCACTGGACCTGGAGGTGCTGGAGCTGTTAGTCTTGGAGGTGCTGGAGTTACTACTGGAGCTGGAGGTACCAGAGCTGCTGGAGCTGCTTGTCCAGGAGGTGCTCGTACTAGAGGTACTGGAGCTGCCGGAGCTGGTGGTGTTGGAGGCGCTGGAGCTGGAGACCCTGGAGCTAGAGGCGCTGGAGCTGGAGGCACTGACGCCGGAGGTGGTGGAGCTGGAGGCACTGGAGCTGGAGACTCTGGAGCTGGAGACACTGCCGCTGGCGGCGCTGGAGCTGGAGGAGCTAGAGCTGGAGTCCCTGGAGCTGGAGGCACTGGAGCTGGAGGCGCTGGAGCTGGAGGCGCTGGAGCCGGAGGCTTTGGAGCTGGAGACCCTGGAGCTGGAGGTGCTGGCGCTGGGCGTGCTGGAGCTAGCGGTACTGGTGCTGGAGGCACTGTGCAGCGGCGACCGTTTTTCGTTCCGCGACCACGTCATCTCTGCAGCCACCTGACTCGGTCCTTCGCCAGGTTCTTAGTCTCCCGTCTTCTACTGGCCTTCCTCCTTGCTTACTGAGTCCACCGCCTTGCCAGTTGCAGCCACAGTTACAGCCAGACTACCCAGTGTCTGCTCCTTCTCATTACTCTGAGCAGATAGACTCTTTTACAGAGCGTTGTGAGCCTAAGTCTCGTCCTGCTTCGCCTCTTCGAGCTGTTCGCACTGGTCGTCGTGTTCCTCCTCCTGTCCCCGGCACTCACATTATGGCACTTCGTCCTTCCTTTGTTCCACAGCGAGTTCCCTTGCCGCCTCCTCCTGCGTCCTCTCTTCCTGCTGTTCCTGACCCTGAGTCTGAATTAGCTCGTGCTGCCAGTCCTACTGTCCCTCGTCTTCTAGCCACTGTTGTCACTGACCCTTCGTTTGAGTCCACTCCTGCGTCTGACCTAGTTGCTGAGCTTGTAGACTTTGCTGCCGCCTGTCGTCTCGACTACGCCACTAGTCTTGTCGCTGAGTCTGAGTCTGAATGTCCTCCATCCGTCGAGGGTGAGTGTGCTCTTGGCACGGACGTCCTTGAGGACAGGCAGGAGGACTTTGAGTGTCTTGCAGCTACCGTACCTCATCTCGTGGCCATGCTGCTTGCACATGATGGAGACCCGAATGCACCAGACATCTTGACCCCGCGCTCTTATGCAGAGGCGATTACGGGTCCCTACTCCTATCAGTGGC